GTGAAATGCCGGGAGTACAACTCACCATGGAGCATGTTCGGGCGCATCAGGGTGACCCATGGAACGAATGCGCTGATGGGGTGGCGAAGCTATTGGCCAAACGGGAATTGGAACTGATGGAACCACCCTGCGAGGCTGGCCAATGCTTCTTACGAGGCAACCTTCAATGGATGGCCACAGAGCTCGCCGCTTGGCGAACAGGTTCCCTTCCCATCAACAATGGACGACTGGTCTGGGAGGACAGGCCCTTCGAGGAATTCTCCCTAAAGCCGAACGACCTCATTCCGATCAACGAGTGCCCGGAGGGACCAGGCGAAGAGGCTAGACCCTTCCAACTGAGGGCGGCTACAGTCAACATCCAAGGCATGGGAGGCAACTATCCGTATGTTGATGAGCAACTCCACCGCCTTGACTTAAACCTTGTCTGCATTCAGGAAGTCAAGGGCAGGGAGGGGCTTTGCCTCAGCAGAAACTACCTCCGCCTGTCCACGGAATCCGACAAGTACTGGGGAGCGGCGATCTGGATCCACAGGGCCCGAGGCCTCATGACAGTACAGGGCCAGCCAATGTATGTCTCGGAGCAAGACATGAGCATCGTCCACCAGTGTCCGAGGATTTTGGCTATTTTGATCAACAAGAATGGCCACAAGATCCTCGTCATTTCTGCGCACTGCCCGCACGCTGGCCGGGAGGATGATCGCAAGAAGTTCATGGACACAATCCGCCCGCTCCTCATGCAGGCCAAACATGTGGATTTGGCCCTGGTGGGAATCGACCTTAACGGCAGACTACCGACCCCGTTCCCACCGGCCACAGGCAACCTTGATTTTGATGAGCCTGATCAAGGAGGACGAGAGATGGCCAATCTTATGGTGGACGCGGGGCTATGGGCGCCCTCCACCCACAGGGAGTTGCACGTTGGAGACCCGGCGACCTATGTGCACCCAAGTGGAGCCGAAAGTCGCATCGACTATTTCATGCAAGGAGGCAAGGGCCAGGTGTACAGGGCCAAAACCCATGTCAATCGTGGCTTCGACACGGGCAGCCCGAACCTGGACCATTGGATGCTCCAAATTGAGCTGGAAGGAAACATGGCAAGGAGCAAAGGAGGAAAAACTCTGTGGCGACAGAAGTTTGATGTCGACAAGATGCACACCCCGGCAGGCAAGGACGTGCTGGTCCAGGCTTGCAAGAAGTTTCCGCAGCCAGCTTGGAATGTGCACCCGGATCGTCACTGTCTCCTCTTTCAGAGATACTACCAGGATGTGCTGCAGCAACACTTCAGGCTGCCGACCACCGGTAGATCCTCCTACATACCGGATGCAGCGTGGGCCCTGCGAGACGGAAAGATGGCCATGAAGCGAGCTACCAGGTATCGCTTCACCCTGTGGGGCGAGCTCAAACGGCAGGCCTGGCGAGGCTTGAAAGGACAGAGTCACCAGGTCTTGGACAGTGTGGCGAAGCAAAACCTCATGTTTGAGATGGCGGCGGCCGCGATCAAGTTTGCTACGGCCCGGATCAAGAAACTCATCACCGCGGCCAAGGCAAAGATGCTGGATGGTGTTGTTACTACCGGGCCCCAGAACGTTGCGGCCGTCCTACAGCGAGCCAAGAAGGCGGGAGTTGGCGGCAGAAAGTCGCGGCCGGTACAACGACCACTACCACAGCTCCTTGACCCCAGCACCGGTGAGCATGCTCAGGATCAAGCTGATCTTGACAAAATCTGGCTCAACTACTTCGGACAACAAGAGTACGGAGTGATGTACAGCGTCGAGGAGTTCCTCAAGAAGTCTGTTGACTATGGGGGAGATGTGGCGGAACAGTGGATGCCGGAACACCTGCCGTCCTTGCAGGATATAGAGCAGACTCTTCGAGAGATCCCGCGAGGCAAAACTGGAGGCATTGACTCCCTGCCCAGCGACCTGTTCAATGCATGCCCAAGGCACCTCGCAGGCGTACTACAGCCCCTTTTCCTCAAAAGCCTCCTCTGTCATCGGCAACCATTGCAGTGGAGAGGAGGCTTGCTGTATGAAGCCTATAAAGGGACGGGAACACAGGCACGGGTCGAGAATTTCCGAAGCCTCTTCATATCTAGCTTCGCAGGCAAGGCACTGCATAAAGCTCTCCGCCGGAAGGTCCAGACGTGTGTGGAAGACACGCTGCATCCACTACACTTTGGGCCCCGCAAAGGGGCCCCGGTCCTTTTTCCGGCCATCTATGTGGCGGCTCACGTGCGGCACTGCAAGGCCACGAAGCAGTGCATGTCCTTGCTCTTCATCGACTGCAGGGCAGCCTATTACAGGATTGTCAGAGAGTTGGCCACTGGCACCCTGACAAACGACGCGGAGATCTACCAGCTCTTTGCCAGGTTTGGTTTGGAGCCCTCTGACATGGAAGACCTGATGGAGCTGATCACCTCGGGCGGCATGTTCAGAGAGGCGGACATCCCGGAGCCTATACACAGGGCCACGTGCGACTTTCACATGGCCACTTGGTTCATCACCAAGTACACACAGGGCGAAAGCTTGGTCGAAGCAAAAGCTGGTAGTCGCCCAGGAGAAGCGTGGGCGGACACTTTGTTTGCATTTATATATGCAAGAGTGTTACATCGAGTCCACGAGCACTTGGTCGCGGAGGACATCCTTTTCCAGGTGGAGTGGGACCCGGACAGTGGAGTGTGGGCGCGGCCTGGACAAGGAACCCAGGTAGAAACCTGGGATGGAACCTGGGCGGACGACACAGCCGTCCCACTCAGAGCAGACACGGCGGAGAAGCTCATGAGCAAAACCCGGCGGCTATGCTCTATTATGGTCAGCACCCTTAGGTCACATGGGCTCGACCCGAACCTCAAACGAAACAAGACCAGCTTGCTTCTCGGGTTGACGGGACCAGGTTCCAAGAAGGTCCGATGCCGTGAGTTCACTGACGGCCGACCGGAACTCCTGATCGAAGACATTGGAGAATCTATCCACGTTGTCGACAGCTACAAGCACCTGGGCGGCATGGTAGATGCCAATGCCACCTTCTCCGCGGAGGTGCGACTGCGACTGTCTCTGGCAGCCGGGGCCTTCGATGAAGGCAAAAAGCTTTTGCTGCAGAACCAGAGGCTCCCCATTGACACGCGTGGGTGCATCTTTGACTCAACAGTCGCGGCAACGATGCACAACCTTGCGCTGTGGATCCCCCAGGGGACCCAATGGCAGAAGCTGGCAGACGGCTACGCCAGACAGGTCCGGCGGCTGCTGGGACGCGACATCAAGGGCGAGACGGTTTTCCACCTACCTACGCCAGCGGCGCATATCATCACTGGGTGCTGGCCGCTTGAGCTGCTAGCATACCGCGCCCGACTAAGCCTCCTTGCCTCGCTAGCCAAGGCAGCTCCCCCGGTCCTGTGGGCCATGCTGCAGGAGGAACAGACATGGATTCGACAGCTCCAGGCTGATTTGAGCTGGCTTGTCGAGGGAGAGGAGATGAAATGGCCTGCTGCTGGGGCAGCGGCGTGGCCTCAATGGTGGAACCTACTCCGGCACTCTCCGGGAAGGATCAAAAGGAGCGTCGGCAAACGCATGAGAAAGGACTTCGAGCACTACAAGGATAAGGAATCTGCCGACTTGTGCCTATGGGCCCTCCGACGGAGCCTGCCACCAGAGGAGTTTCCAGGTACACAGCAGAAGGCGTGGTGTTGCCGCATGTGCGACAAGATCTTTGGAAAAAGATCTGGCCTCAGCGTTCACTTCTTTGCGGTACATCGAAGGAAGGCGGAGTACCGAAAGTTTGTGACGGGCACACAGTGCCCGGCATGTGGCCGCCAATACTGGGCCACTGCTAGACTGGAGGACCATCTCCGGGCCTCACACCGATGCGTACAAGTACTACGTGCTCGAGGAGAAGGTCAAGATGAGGTGGTGCCAGGCTACGGCAGTCGTCGCAGACGACAGGAAGCGAAAGAGCACTTTACGCCTGCTCCGCCCATCCCACAGGGCGAAAGCAACCAGCAGGCACCGATGGCAAAGGTGATGAATGAGTGGGAGGATGAAGCCCACCGAGAGCTCACGGCCGCCCTCCTCGACGTCACCGTAGCGACCAAAGAACACAACATCACCGAGGACATCAACAAGACCTTCAAGGGCCACCCCCTCTACCCGGAGGAGATCCTCCACGTCACCGAGCAGGCCATGGACGAGATCGACATGATCCATGGAGACCCGGACCTACGACAGTGGAACGAAGATCAAGTGGAGGCGATGAGGGATGCCCTCCAAGCAATTCGAAACCCGCCAGCTACTGGTGGCGGGAACCAAGGTCTGGGGAAGGTGGACACCTACCAGGACTTCAAGAAGCAGGTCGAAACCCTCCAGTGGCAGCGAGCTGCTGGAGAGGAACAGCAAGGACACGAGACCCCGGAAGAAGTTGCCTATGAACTGGGAGACGACTGGGAAGCTGCTTGGCGTCTCCACAGGGGCAACTTACCCGCAGCAGCCGTGGCCGAAGACCTACTGAGGCTGCTTCCACCGGAGCTAAGACAGCTCTGGGAACGCCTTCAACAGGGCGCTTTAGTGACCCTGCGAGCCCCAGCCTCATTTTGGGGGCATCGCCTCTCGAGGCCTTTTACGGCCTATAGAGAGGGCTCCTGCAACCTTTAATTCGGCTGCGCAAACCACTGACAGCACGCAAATGGCAAAATGTATGTATATATATATATGTATATGTAAAAGTCCCCCCCACTCCTGCAACTTCCATACAGGTGTCTCGATGACACTCAGCCATCCTATTCCTCTGTGGCTCTGCGAACCTTGCATTCCCACTCAAAAGAAACACTGCCTCGGGGCACTAACTGCAATCCTACTTACGAAGTCCCTTGTGCATAATGTAGCCGACATTCCACGTCTTCTGTCACTCTGTCACCCTGTTGCATCGACCTGGTCACATCCAAAGTCCTGCTCGAATCATGTAGGACCCTGTCATATGAAGCCTTTAGGATTTAGCTGCCCCAAGTGAAGGAAGACGCTCATAACGTTCATCGGCGCCTGCTTGCCCATCGAGTCCGCTTCGGCGTTGCAGATGGGATGTCTAGGCAGCATACCTTGGGTCCACGGAACAAGGAAATATGAAGCCCCTCCTGATTCGCGTCTCGACCCTCGCCCTTGTGAGATCCAATGACAGCTACTTCAGGTGACATTCAGGGCTCAAGGTTTCGGAGCCGGGCTAGAGTTGGAAAGCCAGGGTGATGTCTAGACCCTAAACCCTAAAACGCTAAACCCTACACCCTTAAAACCAAAACCCTAAGCCCTAAACCCTAAAACGCTAAACCCCACACCCTTAAAACCAAAACCCTAAACCCTAAACCCTAAAACGCTAAACCCTACACCTTTAAAACCAAAACCCTAAGCCCTAAGCCCTACACCCTATGTCACCATGTTTAAACCCTAAAACACTAAACCCTACACCCTTAAACCCAAAACCCTAAGCCCCAAACCCTAAACCCTACACCTTTAGACCCTAAACCCTAAGCCCTAAAACCTAAACCCCATTTTAAACACCATTTTTTCAACCTTAAACCCTAAACCCAAAGCCCTAAACCCTATTTCGCCATTTTTTTCAACCTGAAGCTGCAGGCGCAGTGGTTCTGGGGGCGCAGTTGCTGTACTGCCGCTGCCACCCTTACCACACCTCTGAGTGGAACTGGAGCGCTGCGTGGGTCTGGGGTTTTAGGGTTTTAGGGTTGTCGGGTTTTAGGGCTTGTTCTAGGATTTGGGGTTTAGAGTTTTGGGTTTTGGAGTTTAGGGTTTATGGTTCAGGTTCCAGAGACCCCGTACATGCAAGTTTTGAAGCCTGTCTTGAAGCCTACGTTTCTCGAAGGGACCGAGAATTCCCTCAACAGCTTACACCCTAAACCCTAAACCCCAAACCCTAAACCCTACACCCTAAACCCTAAACCCTAAACTGTGTGGTCTGGTGCTCTTATTTTGTGCTTGTGCACGGCGGGATGTAAAGTGGCGGGCTGGGACTTACGTGGACTTTATGGAACCTATCAGCTCAGGGGTTTAGGGTTTCAGGGTTTAGGGTTCAGGGTTTTGGGTTTGGGGTTTTAGGGTTCAGGGTTTTGGGTTTAGGGTTTTTAGGGTTTTAGGGTTCAGGGTTTTGGGTTTGGGTTTTCAGGGTTCAGGGTTTAGGGTTTAGGGTTTAGGGTTTAGGGTTTAGGGCTTGGTTGAGGGCCTTGCGTTTTGGGTTTTCAGGGTTCAGGGTTTAGGTTTGAGGGTTTAGGGCTTGGTTGAGGGC